TATTATTAACCCCTTCTGCCATCATTCCTCTCTTATCGACTCAGAGAGGCAGATGCACAAGGAATGTAACGATATCAAAAAGAAAAATGCGACTATACTTCACGAAGCAAAAAAGAAAGTGAAAGCTTTATATGTTGTTGGCCGATTGCCTGATTTAAATATTTCTTTACCTGTTAATGATCTTAATAATTGACTTTTTCCACATCCACTAAGGCCGACAAAGCCCACTAGAACATCTTCTGTTTGAATATTTTCATTCGAATCGATTATCCCAATTTTAGGTGTTTTATCATCTGTTTCAAATAAATCGAGATTAATTCTGTCTGTATCATTGTCTTCAATATTTTCATCTATATCGTTCGTTCCAGAAGGTACATCTATCACGGGTATCTCTCTATCCATAGCTGCAGAATGCTTTTGTTGAAAAAAGAAATTTTTGAATTTTTGAACCAATCGTATTTGATTGAAAAAATTGCTAACTGTTACAATTAATGAACGCGCATCGAGCAACTGAGTTGAATCTAAAGATAATTCAATAATATTGTTCCATTGATATACACCAATACAAAACCAAAAGATTCCATATTTATTTAGATGATAAAGCATTGGTAAACAATCAATGGTTACAAATAATAATAACAACAATGATATTATTAACAAAGTATTATAATATACTGTCATTTTTTCTCTAAATATTTCAATTAAATATCGAAGATCATAACAAATTGCATAAGCAATTATTAACCGAAGTACTGTAATTAGATATGCTATATTAATTGAAGGAAAAAATGTCAATAATTCATTCTTCTTTATTAAATGAACTGGCCCTTTATTATGTTCATTCACTTTTGTAAAACAAATTAATTTTTTCCATATCAATTCATTGGATAATAATTCATACAAATCATTGTATAAAATATTAAAAAATACTCGATTTAAAAGAATTAACTTAATCGATTGAATATCTTCATATCGTAATAATAATGAATGTATAAAATAATTAATATATGATTTTATTTGTTGAATTTTATATGAATCTATTTGTTGATTTGTTATATGAATTGTCCCAGGTTGAGCATTACGACGACTAGATACGGCCGTAAACGGCCGTTTACGATGACGTATACGGGTCGTATTTTAACGTTTTGGTATGCGCCGTATTACGGCCGTATATCGCCGTGTCGTATACGGTAGTACACACCAACCGTTTCGAACCCGTGTACGACTGTATCATAAACAGGAAACGACCAAACACTGCAACGTAAACGACCGTACCAACATCGTGACCGACCGTATACGGCCGTAGTTCTGAAGAAAAAAAATACATTCCTAAACCACACTCATCAATAGTGCGCACACTACAGACATCAATTCTGCTACATTTCGATAGGAATCACACTAACCAAATGCAGACAGCAAAAAACACCTACTAAAAATCACAAAAAAAGAAGAGAAATCACACTTCCAACAGATCTTGCCGGAGCACTCTCTATAACCTAACATGCACGCCCGCATCTAAAGTAAACTCCATATGATTTTCCGCGTAGCCAGCAACAGGGATCGCGAGAAATCTGAAAAATACAAAAAGTATCAAAGAAATCCTGCAAAAATCACCTTTTGAAGGAAGCATCGTAGAGAATCGTGGAAAGCAGCATTCGATAGCCAGCATCAAGAGATCCATATTCGGAGATTTCTGCTCCATCCTGCAACAGGGATCGTGAGAAATCTGAAAAATACAAAAAGCATCAAAGAAATCCTGCAAAAATCACCTTTTGAAGGGAGGATTAGTGAAGATCATGAGAAAAAATTCAAAAAAATTTATATAGGGTAATAAAAGTAATAGCATGCTTGGAAGTGGTTGAAAAATTTAGAAGAATGAGCGAAATCTCCTTTATTTTTGTTACAGAATTGGATCCTTCCGATGGTTGAGGTACCAATAAAGAATTTTTTTTCTTATTTTAGTAGATTTCTTCAGTAGCGTTGAACTGGAATTCGATATAGGAATATGTTCAGTATGGATTAGCTTCAAAGTTTATCTCGGTTGCAAGGGAAAACGAGGTTTTTGTTCGATTTAGTCGGAAAGGTCTAGTGGAAATTCAAACTCAGCTAGATATAAGGCTTCTGGAGGTTATTGGGAATCTATCTATACTGCTATCTGTGGTGAAGATG